TGGATTTGGACTCTTTGGTTCAGATTAAGAACCGTGACACAAATCGAGTCCGAACTGTAGCGAGGGCCCCCCACGCGGGCGCGTCTACACACATGTCATCACTTTTGAGTATGACATGTCCCATTTTCCTTGTATTCAAACTAACGTCCGGTTTGAACACATACAATGCAACACAAAGAGATGCTTATTTTGTCTCTTTTACTTGTCAATTTTGTTTACTCATTTTAATCACCAAGTCATTCTTTAATTGATTAGTCCATTGGTGAGTGTCTTCTAATGGAAAGAGGGCTCAAAGCCCATGTCTTGCATGTCCACTAGCTTGTATGCTTGTTCATTGCTTGCTTGTTTGCATTGCCATGTTGCATCCCTAGCTAACATGCTTAGGTTGCATTGAACATGCATATCTTGTCCCTTGATTTAGTGATAGGGATTGGACCCCTTTGGTTTGTTGGTTTGCATTGCACTTAACATCAAAATGTGCACACTTGGTCTCTTGGGCCATCACGCATGGAAATGCGCGATTGGTGGTCCGAGAACCAAGGAACATGTCCCTTTGACTCACTCACATGATAAGGAACATGATTGGTGCATACATTGTGTGAATTGCATTGCCATACTCTGCCTTGTCCTCTGCTGCTGTCGATTGCAGGTTCTGCAGGCATTCCCTGCCGACCGGCAGTGTTCAGTGCCGACCAGCAATCCCTCCTAGGCCGATATCTTCACCAACAGCCGGTGACCATATACTACTGCCGGTGGATATCCTACTCAGCCGGTGGTGTCTCCCAGTGTCCAGGGAAACAATCCTGAGACTTTGACAGTCTTCAGAGAAGTATAAAAGGGGAAACAGAGGCAGCTCATGTATGGCAGTGTACTTCCAAGCAAAACCGAGCATGCATCGCATTGGGCTCTTTTCCCGAGGCGGCTTATCTGTTTTTCTTTCCTAGTTTAGTTAATTTGTTAACTAATTAGGTAATTTGTAATAATTAATTAGCTAGGATAGTTAATTCATTATTCGAACTGTATTATTCTTTCGGTCCCTCCGAGCGAGGGTAAACTTGTAATAAGTGTGGGTGAGTGTGTGCATGACTTCCAACCCCCACTTCTTTCGCCCTTTTACTTACCTGCTTTAATGGTTAGTAATAGGTCATGTTTAAATTAGCATACCTTATGCTGCGCATGCGTGCATCCATGCATTTGTCTCGCACGCACCAGACTCGGTACATCATGCTAACTACATTTGTATTTCAATTCCAAATTGAATACTTGCGTCAATTGATTGCATTTCACATCCCATGCTTAGGTTAGCCGAGCCTACTCTAATTGCATCCTGTATGTGTTGCATTAGACATTTAAACATGGACTTGGATCATGCATTGTTTACTAACGAGTTTATTGTTTTGGCTTGGAGTACTAGGTAAGCATTTATGCTTTAGCATACAGTATGCGTGTGAATGCTACCATGACAGCATGCTTATCATGTGGCTAGATATTTATGTGATAAACTGTTTGAATGCTTGTGGGTGAAGGTTGGATTGTCTAAGTTGGAAATACTCGTTGAAATCCATGTTTTAGCCTACTTGCGGGTAGCAAATTCCAAAACATTTTTCCGAAACAAACGAATAGGCAATGCTTATTTCCGAATTAGGCAATCTAGTCTATACTTGTTTGTTGTGCACATAACATAGTAATTCTAGGCTAATAATTGGTTTAAGAAACGCTAAATAACTGGTTTAAGAACACATAGCGTTTTCAAAAACGTATATCATGGTTAGTAGAGGCCGATCTTCGGATCGGGCGAGAGGGGGTGCTCATAGCTGACCTTCCCCAATCGTAGCCAAGCTCCCGAGCCAAGGCAACTTTGGTGATGACGGACACGTGGCTTTCGGCACCGAGTCAGGGTTTCCTAAATTTCCCCATTTTAAAATATTTAGGTGGCGACTCTGTATCTGGCAAAGCAGTCCATGTTTGACACTTCTTTTCAAAAAAATCTGTTTCTCAAAACAATTTGCCGGATTTAGACTCTTTGGTTCAGACTTAGAACCGTGACAACAAATCGAGTCCGAACTGTAGTAGCGGGGCCCCACGCGGGCGCGTCTACACTACGTGATCAACACACTGTAACACCACTGAAATCTCCGACGAAATCTACACGATCGTACCAATCTTTCTCGTCAACTCCACTGAAATCTCCGACGAAATCTCCACCATGAAATCTTCACTGAAATCTCCGATGAAAACTCCAACAAAATCTCCACTTCAAATTTGGTTTCCAAAATCAATCAGTTAAGTCAACAATATAATATTCAAACAAATTTATGTTATAAAGGAAGGGCAATTTAGGTACTTTATAACCTAAAATAAATTTGAGGGACCTTAGCCAACAAAACATATTATAAAGGACCTCTCCTCCTATCAAAAGTAGATGAGGGACCTTAGGCCAAAAAAAAAAAAAAAAATTCTCATTCAAATAAAAAAATAAAAAATTATAGTATTTTCTTAACATTCTGTTACTATAAACTTAAATTAATAATTTTTTTTTAAACAACTATCCTTTCACATCAAATTTCATTTAAATGAAATCAAAACAATAATTTTTTTTGAATAAATTACAAATACACATCTTGAGATTTATTTAAATTACAATTTATCTCATGTAATTCTAAAAATTACATTATACCCCTTAAGGTTTTTAATTTCATAATAAATAGGTTATTTTATTAATAAATCATTAAGTTAATTAACAGTTTTAATAATATTAAAATTTTATTTCAGTTAATAATTCAGATAATTTTATTATTGTATTGGTGAACAGTTAGAAATTTTACTTTTTTAATTAATTCTGTTAAATAAAAAATTGTGACAAAAAAATATTTATAATTTTCTAAATTATAAAAAATAATTTATATTTAAACAAATCAAGAGAGGTTTCCTCCATCAGTAATTTTTCTTTTTTTGGGTAGGCTCTACACTCTCTCAATTTCTCTGTAAAACCCTACCTACATTGTTTGTTCTTCATTTTCAATAGCTAATATTTACATTTTGTACATTCTCCATATATAGAAAGAGAGAATTTAGAGAGAGAGAGAGAGAGACAAGCAGACCAGACCATGCCCCCTCGATTGCCAACTCGTAGGAAGTCGACATGGAAATCGAAACAATCGGAGCTCGAATTGAGTCTGGCCGACCAGAGCAACACAGTGCCGGAGTCGGAGAACAAAGGCCAAGAAGCTCTATCTGCTGCGGTGAAGGACGAAGGCGGCGAACAGGTGGCGCCGCTGGTGATCGCCGGAGTGGAAATCAAGCAAGAACTTAGGGTTTTAGACTCAAATTATGCAGACGAGGCTGTAATGAGTACAGCAGTGGAAACGAAGGTTAAGGAGGAGGAGAGGAACGTCAATGTCAATACTGTGAGCTTTATGGAGGATGGAGAAAGAATGGAGGGTGATCATGACAAGTTTGACAATGCAGCTGAGGAAGAAGAAGTAGAGGGTAAACAGAATGAAGGAATACATGTTGGTAATGGTTATAACTTTTTCTTAGCGTCTGATTGATTGTTCTTAAATTAGAGTTGAGCTGAATTCAATTGCATTATATTGTATAAAAGCATCTCCAATCCTTCACCAATTCCAGTGTTTTAAAAGGCTCTAGGTGCACCGAGGCGATAAGTTATCCTATCGCCTAAGTGCGAGGCAAGGTGCGCGCAGAACAAGTAATAAAAGAAAAGCAAAATTATAAAATAGGCAAACTTTTCAACATTACAAATATATATAAAATTTCAAAAATTATAACTATTTCTGATAATATTTAAACATAACATTTAATCTTTTAAAAATTAGAAATATCCAACAAAAGATATAAAGCATAATACTCAATCTTTTCTCACTTTTTGCTCTCTTTTGACCACGTTTAGTCATTTTATATTAAGGAGTTTTGAATTCCTGTGTATGCCCACAAAAGGCACTTAATCAACAGTTGGAGTAAACAAATAGGTAAAGCCCATGAAGCCCACGCTTCGCGCCTTGAAAAAAAACCCTCGCCCTCAGTGCCTAAGCTGCGCCTTGTCTCGACCTGTTCAAAGCGCAAGGCTACTCAAATTTGATGAAATTTTAAAAATGATAAAGATTTTAAATTATTTTCTTTCGCAAATAATGGATGATTTTTTTTTATAGTAAAGATTGGAGTGTTCCTTACCGGATCAAACTTTTAACCAAATTTTCACTCAAGTTTGATAAAAGAAGAGAGTAAGGATTGGAAATGCTCCACATACTACAAAGAATTAGGTCAAATAAAAAAAGAGATTAAGGGATGATGGTGTTTGTATATAAATTATCATCTATTTTGATGTTTTCCGAAAATTAAATTTCTTTTTTGAGTAAAGATAAATATATTATTATCGGATGATTGTCATCTTCTTTCCACTGAGGATTAATTTTGAAGATCCCTGTCAATTTAAAGATTTTAGTGGGCCTAGGAAATGTTATTGATACACAATCAACTTTAAAAGCAAATAAAAGACGATTCATGGATAATTTGACAAGGTCATTCGCCTAATTTATCATGATAATAATGTTTTCAAGGCCTGAGGCTGTTAATTTTGCCTGAAAACTCTGTTAATCTCTGGCTGAGATTTCAGGTAGCACTAATACCTTAAAATCTCAATTTGGAGGCACTATACTAGTCAAGCAAAAGGGTGTCAAGAGGTAGCTTTTAAATTAAGAAAACAAATATGCAACAAAACAAATGGTTTGAAGTGTTCACAGATTTTTCTTTTGGTTCCAGATCATTGATTTGCGATTAAGAGTGGGCAGTCTTTGCTCAGATACTTATAAATATGATTATATATATATATATATATATATGTAGATAAGATGTCTTTTATCCTCGGGGGAGAGTAAATTTTGACTACACTAAAGAAGAAGTGAACCACATGAAGGCTTGAGTCACTCAATTGCTGCTATCTTAACTTCATTGTGTTTCCTTCTCCTTGCTCAATGATTTGTACCTTGGGCTGCAATTTCACCCTGCAATTATTTGAATTCTTGGTTGAGTGAGGCTCTATAACAAGAATAAGAATGGATAAAAGCACTATCCATAATTTCTCCACATCTTCTGAATTCCCAATCTACTCTTTTCCCTCCCTTTGCTGAAGAACACTATATGAATGTATAAATTGGGGTTATTTCTTGGTGGTGGTATGAGACTTGGGCTGTTGAGTGTGAAAATGTGAATTTGAGGCTATGGATGTTATTTTGTGCAATTAAAGCCAGTCGTCAGTTTAGTAACTAGTCCACCACTTCCAACACCCTAGATTGATTGAACTATTCTGCACAATGGCCTCTTCTAATGAATGAATGGAAGCAACATGTGCTTTGTTGTTATTGAATTTGCCACTGTCTGGAACTAAAGAAAAATAACGATGAACCGTCACAGTTTCAGAAATAAGGTTATGCATTGGCAATTGAGGCACCATTGGGGGGAACTCAGTCCATGGCTTTTTGAGTTGAGTCCTTTTGTTTTTTGCCTTCGCGCCACTTCTCTTAAATTGTGTTATCAGTAGAAGAGAGATGAGAAAGATAAAAATATATTTTTTACAGTGTTTACAAGAAATGACATAATTATGGTGAATTCAATAAAGGTGTTGTGATAACTTACCCTCTGCACTCAGCTATTATTATATTGTTTATCCCAAGTTTGAGCACCTGACTATGTTTCTCAGACTTATTAGGTGCCCATTCTAATCCATTCTAATCCTATCTGTTTAACTTCATATGTTTTCTAATCCTATCTTTTTAACTTCATGTGATTTCTCTGATGTGTATCCACGTTTGTCCTTGTTTTCCCTATTGGCACTGTTTTTCTCATTTCTATTTTGAACTACTTGTGTATCTGTATGCAATTCCTTGGTGTTACTATGATCAGGGTCATCAGTTGACAATAAGTAATTGTTATAGTGGCAGAACAGAACTCATCTGAAGAAGGAACTGCTGCTGCTCAAATTGATGATGCTGAGGCATTTGTAGACAATGACAATTTTCCTGTTCTCAATGACGGTAGTGATGGGCAAGAAGGGGGTGAAGTGGGTGCAAAGGATGAGGAAGATATCTGGGACAATGAAGAAGATAATGAAGATGAGGAACAGCCTGCTGAATTTGTCAATAATCACATCACTGACAGGAAGAAAAAAAAGGATTTCGAAATTTTTATTGGAAGACTGGATAAAGGGGCCGTTGAGGACGATCTGATTGAAGTGTTTGGAAAGTTTGGGGAATTAAAAGCCGCTAGGATAGTAAGGAATCCAACTACAAATAAGAGTAGAGGATTTGCCTTTATTCAATACATGACTGTTGAGCAAGCAAAGAATGCTCTTTCTGCATTGAACGAAGGGATCCAGGTTTTATATATTGACTTTTAATATGAAATTTTCTTTGCAAAGGAAAAATAAAAGCATAATTTTCAAAATGTTAATTTAAGATGGCAATAATGTGGTCTTTTCTTCTGGCAAGTGAGAGGCAAACACATTATAATATCAGCAAGCCAGGATAATGATACTCTTTATATGGGCAACATCTGCAAATTATGGACAAAAGAGCGTGTAAGCTTTTGATACACACATCCTTGCATTGTTACTGAAGGTCACCCTTGCATTGATGAGCTGACATCGTTTGTTTCTTTCCCTCTGAAGGTGCTGGGAACATTGAAAAGCTATGGAATTGAAAATATTGAAGAGAAATATTTGCCAGCTGATCCTCAAAAAGAAGGGAAGATCAAAGGTTTTGCTCTTTTGGAGTTCAGCACCCACTCGGATGCAATGGCAGCATTTCAAAGACTAAGAAAGCCGGATGCTGTCTTTGGTCGTGATAGAAGTGCTAAGGTTGCTTTTGCACAAACCCCAATGCACCCAAATCAAGAAATTCGGTCTCAGGTTAGAAATCTGAGTCCTGCTAGTGTTTGTGGAAAGTCATAAATTGAGAAAAATATGTTGGTAACAAAAATACTTTAATTCTTGATGCTGAATTATATAAAACTTGTGCATTTGGACCTGAAAGTCATTTTTGGGAGGTACTTAGCCCAAAGGTGTGTCGTCGTGAAAGGTGCTCCATCTACTAGGATTTTTAATATTAGGTCAAAAATTGTGACATCTTAGTCATTTGTTTTAATTAGTGTTCTGTGTTGTGACAGTAGACACCTAAATTTTGACATGGCTTAATCATCGTCCAATTGGTTAAAACCTATGAAGCACGTGTACATGTACTGGTATTGGTACAATACGAGTATGTTGGTATGGTAAATTTTAAAAAAAAATACGGGTATGGCGGGGTGCGTTCGTAATATATATATATATATATTTTTTATTTGGAGTAATGCAAAAATTAGTTAAGTGGTTTAGTTTGTTAAGATTCAACCTACAATTAACATTTAATGCCAAAAGTTAGGTATAAATCAAAATTAAATGTCATTATATTAAATAACTTACAAACCAAAGTTTTAATTTAAAATCATGCAATACATAAAAAAAAAAATTCAACGAAACTAACTTCACCTTTGTATAGAAGAAAGTATTATTTAGGTTAAGATACGGCTTGTGTGTATAATAGGTATATCTAGAATTTAAGAAGACAAAAATTGACATGTTTCATGTACTCGATACGTATACAAAAGTAACCATCCAAAGTATCAATACCCGGAAGTGCCCATGCTTCATCGGTACTAGTAATGTAAGGCCTCGAAATAAAACAATAAACCAACCAAGACGATAAGTAAATGACAATTAGAATCAGAGTATAAAGTCCTATTACATGAGATCCAGTTATACAAGAGAGTGGCATATGCAATTATACATTCACGAGCCTATCCCTGAATCTACAGCATATAACACAGTATGAGATAGAAACTGGAAGAAAAACAAATAATAAATGCCCTAAATGTTTACAACTTTCCAAAGTAGGTTCTTAGTTACAATAAAAATAGACTTTAAGTCCAATACATTTAAAGCCCTTGACTATACAAAATAATTACAACAAAAGAGAAGCTCTTGCTCCCAATCCTTCCAAGTCATTGCCTTGGCAGAAATATATCACCAGTACCTGAAATGTTTTGCCCACATAGGGTGAGCCAAAGCCCAGTAGAAACAATCTAACACAATTTATAAATCTTAACAAAGATATAGTAAAAGTGAACTTTCCTTACACTTCTTGAGAAACAAGGACACAAAACAGCATCAAAATTTAATTTAGGAGCATTGGGCACTGGACGGCCACCAGAGGAGGGTGTCGGCCACCCCTAAGCACTGTCGGCCACCGATGACAGATCGGGGCCAAATGGGTCTTTTCACCACGGGTCTTTAAGTAAACACACCCAAACTTCATTTCTACACTTCTCCAAACTCGAAAACCCTCTCTTTCTCTCTCTAGATAGTTTTCCCCTCTAGATCTGTGCTTTATACGCGTTTTCCAACGTCCCACAGATGTTTGATTTGCTAAATCCTCTTTGGGTTCTGTGCCTTTTCCCAGGCTTTGACCTTTTCTTCCCTTTTCTCTCTCGTAGGGTTGACTTGAGTTGACTTTTGGCATTTTCCACCTATCTTGCTCATTTTCTACCACTTTATCATCTTCTTTCCAGATGGCGGACGATGTTCCTCATGACGGAGCTTCCCCAGAGATTCCACCCCAATTTTTCCCAGAGATGGAGGCAGAGCCCGGGCCTGTGCTACTTCCACCCAAGGTTTGACGCTTCGACCCGACGACATATGATCCTCAGACGTATGTGCTACCACCTGAGAGTGTCCGGCATTTCAAAGGGTTTGAGCGAGATGCACGTTTTGCTCTTTTGGAGTTCAGCACCCACTCGGATGCAATGGCAGCATTTCAAAGACTAAGAAAGCCGGATGCTGTCTTTGGTCGTGATAGAAGTGCTAAGGTTGCTTTTGCACAAACCCCAATGCACCCAAATCAAGAAATTCGGTCTCAGGTTAGAAATCTGAGTCCTGCTAGTGTTTGTGGAAAGTCATAAATTGAGAAAAATATGTTGGTAACAAAAATACTTTAATTCTTGATGCTGAATTATATAAAACTTGTGCATTTGGACCTGAAAGTCATTTTTGGGAGGTACTTAGCCCAAAGGTGTGTCGTCGTGAAAGGTGCTCCATCTACTAGGATTTTTAATATTAGGTCAAAAATTGTGACATCTTAGTCATGTGTTTTAATTAGTGTTCTGTGTTGTGACAGTAGACACCTAAATTTTGACATGGCTTAATCATCGTCCAATTGGTTAAAACCTATGAAGCACGTGTACATGTACTGGTATTGGTACAATACGAGTATGTTGGTATGGTAAATTTAAAAAAAAAAATAGGATACGGGTATGGCGGGGTGCGTTCGTAAAATATATATATATATATATTTTTTATTTGGAGTAATGCAAAAATTAGTTAAGTGGTTTAGTTTGTTAAGATTCAACCTACAATTAACATTTAATGCCAAAAGTTAGGTATAAATCAAAATTAAATGTCATTATATTAAATAACTTACAAACCAAAGTTTTAATTTAAAATCATGCAATACAGAAAAAAAAAATTCAATTAAACTAACTTCACCTTTGTATAGAAGAAAGTATTATTTAGGTTAAGATACGGCTTGTGTGTATAATAGGTATATCTAGAATTTAAGAAGACAAAATTTGACATGTTTCATGTACTCGATACGTATACAAAAGTAACCATCCAAAGTATCAATACCCGGAAGTGCCCATGCTTCATCGGTACTAGTAATGTAAGGCCTCAAAATAAAACAATAAACCAACCAAGACGATAAGTAAATGACAATTAGAATCAGAGTATAAAGTCCTTCTATTACATGAGATCTAGTTATACAAGAGAGTGGCATATGCAATTATACATTCATGAGCCTATCCCTGATCTACAGCATATAACACAGTATGAGATAGAAACTGGAAGAAAAACAAATAATAAATGCCCTAAAGGCTTACAACTTTCCAAAGTAGGTTCTTAGTTACAATAAAAATAGAATTTAAGTCCAATACATTTAAAGCCCTTGACTATATAAAATAATTACAACAAAAGAGAAGCTCTTGCTCCCAATCCTTCCAAGTCATTGCCTTGGCAGAAACATATCACCAGTACCTGAAATGTTTTGCCCACATAGGGTGAGCCAAAGCCCAGTAGAAACAATCTAACACAATCTATAAATCTTAACAAAGATATATTAAAAGTGAACTTTCCTTACACTTCTTCAGAAACAAGGACACAAAACAGCATCAAAATTTAATTTAGGAGCATTGGGCACTGGACGGCCACCAGAGGAGGGTGTCGGCCACCCCTAAGCACTGTCGGCCACCGATGACAGATCGGGGCCAAATGGGTCTTTTCACCACGGGTCTTTAAGTAAACACACCCAAACTTCATTTCTACACTTCTCCAAACTCGAAAACCCTCTCTTTCTCTCTCTAGATAGTTTTCCCCTCTAGATCTGTGCTTTATACGCGTTTTCCAACATCCCACAAATGTTTGATTTGCTAAATCCTCTTTGGGTTCTGTGCCTTTTCCCAGACTTTGACTTTTTCTTCCCTTTTCTCTCTCGTAGGGTTGACTTGAGTTGACTTTTGGCATTTTCCACCAATCTTGCTCATTTTCTACCACTTTCTCATCTTCTTTCCAGATGGCGGATGATGTTCCTCATGACGGAGCTTCCCCAGAGATTCCACCCCAATTTTTCCCAGAGATGGAGGCAGAGCCCGGGCCTGTGCAACTTCCACCCAAGGTTCGACGCTTCGACCCGACGACATATGATCCTCAGACGTATGTGCTACCACCTGAGAGTGTCCGGCATTTCAAAGGGTTTGAGCGAGATGCACAAGATGATCTTTTGTTACGAGAGTCGGCCTCCCATTTATCTTACGGCGCCACTGAGGTATACACAGTATTCTCATGTTTTCTTCACTGCACCTTGCATTTCTTGCTTAAACCACACTCTTGCACTGTTTTTTTTACACTACTTTTCACTTGTTGGTTTCAAACATATTCTTGCATTGTATTTCTTACACTGCCTTTCACCTGCTCGTTCTGATCACAGGAGGATTCGCGGTCTATCAGAGGCTATGGAGCCACATCCGCGAGGGAGTGGTATATGGAGCTCCCCGATGGTGTCCGCCACATTGTTGACGAGGCTGGCTTCGGCTTGTTCTGCATGGGGCTATCACACCTCATAGCGAGTCGACCTCTACTTGGAGCATTGGTAGAGAGGTGGTGGGATACCACCAACTCTTTCCACTTCTCTACCGCGGGAGAGATGACGATGACTCCATATGATTTCTCTATGCTTACTGGCATAAAGGTAGGGGGTCGTCCGATCCCTTATGATACAGATATGGGTGAATGGGAGGCTGCATAGATCTACCTGCTAGGAGCACACCCACCTCTCTTCCGATCGGGGATGGTACGATATAGCTGGTTTGCAGAGCAGTTTCGAGGGAGAGAGCCAGAGACTCCAGAGGAGGTCGCGCACTACGCCCGAGGCTTCTTGATGTTCCTCTTCGGCACCACTTTGTTCGCCGATAGAGCGAACACTGTTGGGTTGTATCTCCTGAGTGCATTGGTGGATTTGTCTCAGGTCCATATTTATGATTGGGCCGGTGCTGGCCTTGCGACATTATATAGATATATGAGCTCGACATCCCGCAGGAGCGGGAACAGGGTCGGCGGCTATTGGAGAGCCTGGGAGGTATGCTTTATCTTTTTGCTTTGCATTTCCTGTCATGCTTTCTGCTTTGCCCTTGTACTTTCTATATACTGCACATTCTACTTTCTGCACTCGCACTTGTACTTTCTGTACACTGCACACATATTCTGCTTTCTATACTCACACCTGTACTTTCTGTACACTGCACACACATTCTACTTTCTGCATTCTGTATTCTACATTTTCTGCTTTCTGCATTCCCTGTGTTCTGCATTCTCTAGACATTGCATACACATTCTGCTTTCTGTATTCCCTGTGTTTTGCTGTATACTCAATATGGCCCTTTTCTTTTTACAGCTTTGGGTATATGCCTATTTCCCGGCCCTTGCCCCAGAGCCAGAGGTGGAGATGCCTCCTGTCGTGCCGTAGTCTCACCGGTATGACGGGAGATGTCTACGGAGGACCCGAAAGACTTTTTCATTCTTCCGCCGGTACTTTGACACTGTGACTGCAGCAGAGGTAACTCAAAATTCACAGTTAATGTTATTCTGCTTCAGTTCTTATTTATATTGTAAGATTCTAATGGCAACTAACAAGCTGTGCATTCTCTGTTTACAGATCACGTGGCAGCCTTGGGCGACGATGCCTGAGGGAGTCGGGGACCAGTTTGCTAGGGCTCGGGGGACCACCTATTTTCGGCTTCTATTCGAGGGTCCGGTTTGCCGGGCCTGGTTTCTAGGTGAGCGTTTTGTATGCCAGACCTTGGGCTTGCCACATCCAATAGTTCCTATAGCGCCTCCACCCCCCACCATCTATGAGAGCTACAGAGCAGCTCACTTCCCAGGAGATGATCCAGTTTACCAGAGGCTTGGACGCCGATTACTACTTGGGGGAGGGTGATTATGCGACATTCATTGAGACACACCTCATGCCTCCCTTGACCGATATTCACGGAGGTGAGGGGATAAGAGTTCCAGCTATGAGAGAGAGAGTCGGAGTCCCCAAGGCGACCAGGGCGCGTGGTAGAGGGGCCACCCAGACGAGGCAGAGGACCGGCTAGCCAGAGTTGCCTACTGCACTCACATGTTGGCGGTATACTGGGGAGGCATATCAGATCCCGATTGAGCTTGCTGCAGCGGGACACAGATACACTAGAGCCCAGGACGCACCTCCGGTATGTACCACATTTTAGTTTTCCCATCTCTTTCTGATATTTGTTCACTCTGGACATTGATCATTCCCAATGCATTTGTAGGCTCCTCCTAGATACATCGAGGATCTGCTAGAGCTATTAGCCTCATTCGAGGGCATGATATTGAGGAGGGAGGCATTGCTCGGCTTCCACGACATTCAGGTTATTTCTTCAGTTTTCTTACATTCCAGCCATCACATTTCCATTGACACACTGAAACTGACATTTCAATTGAAAATTTCTCCACGCTGCACTGATATACTGCATCTAAATTCATACACTATACCTGACTTCTGCATATATTCATTCTACATACCATACTTGCATCTGATACACATACTGTGGTTGACATATGACAACTGCCTTTTTAGGTTCCACTCTTATCGACAGCATCAACGGCACCAGCACCAGGACCATCAGTACCTCCTCCGACAGCAGGGAGAGAGAGACAGGCTCCAGCACGCAGTCGAGACCGAGCTAGGAGCAATGCTACTGAGCCAGGTTCTGAGGCACAGAGCAGCAGTGGCTCCGGTTCCGTTCAGCATCCGGTTCAGACAGCGGCACAGATGGAGACAACTCTGAGTCCTCGCCCAGGAAGAGGACCAAAATGGCCTCTCGAGCTTGAGATAGCTGGCGTTGATCTATTTGTATTTTTGCGTAGTTTCTCTTATTAGTAGTGTTAGCACTTTGTATAGCTTCAGACGAGTTTTTTTATTATTTTGCTTTAAAAACTTGTACTGCACTTTTTGTAAAAACAACCATGATCGGAATGAAAACCAAGCTTTTTGAAAAAGTGTTGTATTTTGCATCATAAGCACCTCATTGCATGAAAATGAGATTGAATTTGACATTGAAAATCAAATACTTGTAATGTCACAACAGTCTGAATCAGGTAACGAACTGACCAACAACTGAAATAAACAAAGTAATACAACTCGATAATCAAAATAACAACTCGATAAATAACAGAACAATCCGATATACAACAAAACGGCTCGATAAACAACTCAATGAACAAAACAGCTCGTTAAACAACTTAAATACAACACAACAAACTTGCTAAAACTAAAAAGACTCAAAATAGGACCTTAACATATACGAAGAGCAGAACAAAACAAAGGTTCTTAGCACTCTCAACACAAAAGTGGATAGCAGGTCTGCAAAAAGGACTGTCGGCCATGAATTGATTCTGTCGGCTTTTGGCGGGTCTAGCATTCGGCTAGTTGAAGTAGCCCAAGGTTTGAAAGAGGGCAAGAGTTGCATTGGCTTGGTACTGGCTGAGACTTTGATGGGCTTAGATGCCTTTCATCGGCTAGAGAGAAACAAATTCGCGGGAAGTCCACTACTTCTTTAAGTAATGTTTCCCAACCTTTCTCATATGTGTTTCTCACATCACTCGACACTCATGCTCTGTTTTTCTCTCGAAGCCATTTTTTTACTTTTTCTCTCAACAAACACCTCTCTATTCTTTAATCTCTTTTTTCTTTCATCCCTCCCCAGATATGGCTCATGGACAAGCTGAAGGTAGGGGACTTTTGCCCTGCATACTTAGCCCGGGGCTATTTCTTTTGCCAACAGCTAGTTGACTTTCCAAACGAAGGGTGGTGGTGCCATTAGATGTGCAACAAGTCTGTTGTTGACATTGCTTGGCGTTATCCCTAGTTTGATCTGCCCGAGATGGGCTACAGCATAGCTCGGCAACCCGACATTCAACTAATTGGCCTGACACACTGCGTATTCTAATTTCCTTTCCGGTTCAAGCATCAGTTCGGACATGACCAGACTTGCCCAGAAGAGGGGGTAGAGTACCCGGCTTCATACCCAATCCGAGGTTCACATTTGGCTCGATACCTCAATGCTTGGAGGACAAGAGAACTTCCGGCTTCTGCTCCCAATTTCAGTTGCACCCTTTCTGGCGAATGTCTGGCTTGGCTTGAAGAAGAAGCACAGACCGGGCCTACTTTAGCATCGGAAGCTTCCACAAGCGCAGGGAGGGGACGCAGGAACGCCTGACTCATCTATGCTCCAAGTTTATTGCTTTGATCTAACTTTTCAAGTTTTCCTTTTGAATGTAATAAAGAAAATAACTTTGATTTGTATCGAGAGTTGGAGAACTTTGTATTGAAATTAATGAAATTGAAGTTGTGAGCACTGAAAATTTTTCTTTTGGTCCAAAAATGGTCTAAGTTGTAAAAAGATTAATTTAAACAATATCAACTTTTATCAAAACTTTTCAAAACCATTTTCGATAAGAATCACCACCTGACACATAGAATCTATCCTCAAGACGTACAAACCCCGAATCCAGAAATGGAAAATTGCCCCTAGATTGAATAGCACTATTCAGCACTGTAGTCAGCTCTTCTTTCAGGGTAAGGATCACAACCGAATTTCCAAATAACGAACAGACAAAGATGTCTTGATCAAACACATAGACATAGTTGATTTGGAAGTGTTTACGGCCAGACTTCAGAATGAAGTTGCCTACGTATCCTGAAGATGAGAATCAGATCTTACGTAGTTCGATTTGGGTTCACTCAGGTATTAATGCTTTCCTTTTGCGCTCTAACTTTTGCCAAGGTCGCCTGTTCTGGGTTTTCAACCTTGCGAGCTCAGTTTTTTTTATTTTCAATTTTTTGTGCTCTAACTTTTGCCTAGGTCGTCCTTCCAGATTTTCAGCCTAGCAAGCCTCTCAGGGGTAATGTTTCTCTAACTTGTCCATGTTGATTGGTTGGGAAAATTCTAGGCCATCCAGCTCTATAAGAATAACAGCTCCACCGGACCAAATGGTTTTGATAATAATAGGACCAGCCCAATTAGGTTTGAACTTGCCTCTAGGGTCATGGATGGAAGCTCGGTTGTTTTTCAGCACCAAATTCCCTTCTTTAAGATTCCGAGACTTAAATTTCTTGTTAAAAGCCTTGGCAATCTTGCGTTGATATCCTTGAACATGGTACAGTTCTTTCAGCCTTCTCTCATTGAATAGCATCAGTTCCTCGAACCTGCTCTGCTGCCAATCTGCCTTTGCTATCTAATACTCAGCCATAACCTGCAGCGACGAAACCTCTATTTCAATTGGCAGAATAGCTTCCATCCCATGAACAAGAGAGTACGGAGTTGCCCCAGTAGATGTCTGAATCGAAGTTCTGTAGCCCCAAAGAGCAAATGGCAATTTGTCTAGCCAATCCCTGTAAGTCTCAACCATTTTCTGCAAAATGTGCTTGATGTTCTTGTTGGCGGCCTCAACAGCTCTGTTGATTTGCGGCCGATATGTAGATGACTTGTGAAAAGCTACATATTTCTCCAACAAGTTGATCACTTCTTTCTTGACATGGGAGCCATTGTCTGAAATGATCTCATTCGGGACTCCATAACGGCAAATGATGTTGTTTCGAATGAACATAGCCACATGCGCTGCTTTCAACACTGCATAAGACTGAGCTTCCACCCAGTTCGTAAAATAATCAATTGCCACCAGAATGTACTCGTGTTCATTTGACCCTTTCGGTGTAACTGCCCCAATGACGTCAATTCTCCAGACTGAGAAAGGTCATAGTGAAATCATGTTGTACAGCTTTGACGTCGGGATATTCATGCAATTTGCATGAATTTGGCATTTGTGGCATCGCTGAACAAAACCAATACAATCCTTCTCCATGGTAGACCAATAGTAACCTTGCCTGAGAATCTTCCGGGCTAGCATTACTCCGCTAATGTGCGCTCTACACTCTCCCCCATAGATGGCCTTCATTAGGCGCTTAGACTCTTCTGTGTCAATACACAGCTTGTGCATTCCCAGATAACCCCTCTTATACAACTTACCCCTGCAGATGATAAATTAAACGGCCATTTGCCGTATTGCCTTTTTGTCTTTGGCATTTGCCTCTGGTGGATAAACCTCATTTTTCAAGAAGTTTTAAATATCATAATACCAGGGGTTTTGATTTTGCACTTCATCTATTTCGGCGATAATCCCGTAGGCTGGTGTATATCTTTGCTCAATAATAATCAAACCCATCCGGACTCCAAACGAGATATCTATCATAGAAAATAGAGTTGATAAGGCGTCAGCGAACCTGTTGTTCTCTCTTAGTAGATGAGTGAAGGTTAGCTTCTCAAACTTAGGAATCAGAACATCCAAAGTCTGATGATAGATCTTCATCTTTTCTTCTTTGACCTTCCAGTCTCCTTTTGATTGAGACACAACCAGGTTTGAGTCCCCGATGACATCCAATCTTTTTGCCTCTCGTTCTAAGGCGGCTTCCAAACCAGCGATACACGCCTTGTATTCTGCTTCGTTGTTGGATAATTTGAACTGGAGTTTGAAAGCTAAAGGTATGTGGGAATTGTCGGGTGCTATCAACAACACCCTTATCCCATAACCGTATTGGTTAGACGCTTCATCAAAGTACATTGTCCAAATATATTCCTCAACCTGCAAAATAGCTTCATCTGGGAATAGGTATTCTACTGCTTCATCCCCTTCCACTGGGTGATCTGCCAGGAACTCTGTTACCACTTTCCCTTTAACAGACTTGCGAGTAACATACTTCAAATCAAATTCGAAGAGAAGAAGCAACCAACCGGCTAACCTACCCGTAAGTGCTGGTTTCTCAAAGAGATATTTGATAGGATCTAATCTCGAAACCAGAATTACGAAGTGAGCTAACAGGTAGTGTCTCAACTTCCTAGTAACCAATACCAAGGCTAAGCAAACGTTCTCCAGCGGGGTGTAACGGGTCTCATAATCCAGCATCTTCTTACTCAGGTAATAGATGGCCTTCTCTACTCTATCCTCAAATTCCTAAGCAAGCATGCATCCCATCGTTGTGTCCGTTATTGACAGATACAAAATCAACGGCTTCCCTGGCTTTGGCGGCGACAACACGGGCGGGTTCTGGAAGTACTGCTTGATCTGCTCAAAAGCAAACTGACATTGGTCATCTCATTGGAATATTTTTCCTTTCTTCAGGAGACCAAATAGTGGTTCACAAGTCAAGGTTAATTTTGAAATAAACTGTCTTATGAATTGCACTTTACCTAGAAAGCATCGCATCTCCTTTTTAGTCCTTGGTGCTGGCATTTCTATGATGACCTTGATTTTGGAAAGATCTACCTCGATGCCCCTCTGTGTGATCAAGAAACCCAACATTTTCTCTGCTGTTATGCCAAAAGTGCACTTCTGTGGATTCAGCCTCAACCGATATTCTCTAATCCGTTGAAAGAATTTCTTTAAGGCGGTGTAGTGGCCCTCTTTTTCCTTGGACTTGACAATCATGTCGTCCACGTACATCTCAACCTCTTTATGGATCATTTCATGTAAGATTGTGGTTGCAACCCGTTGATAAGTAGCCCCAGCATTTTTCAGACCGAACGGCATCACCTTGTAACAGTAGGTTTCCCATGGCGTGGTGAAGGCAGTCTTCTCTCTATCCTCGGGTGCTATCAAGATCTGGTTATACCCGGAAAATCCATCCATAAATGAGAGCAATGCATGGTCTGCGGTGAAGTCCACTAATTCGTCGATGTGCGGTAGAGGAAAGTCGTCCTTCGGACTGGCCTTATTCAGATTTCTGAAATCTACACACACTCAAATTCTACCATCTTTCTTCGGCACTGGAACAATGTTGGCCAACCAAGTCGGATACTCATATACTAGCAAAAACCCTGCGTCTATCTGCTTGGTGACCTCTTCCTTAATCTTAAAAGCCCAATCTGGGCGTATTCTCTACAGCTTCTGTTTGACGGGTCGAGCCTCGGGGTCAAGAGGGATCTGATGCT